TGATGTGATTTTTTACTTGTAGATGCACGAATTGATTTATACATAGGCCAAAACCCCTATTTGCACCCTCAATTTATTTTTTTCTGCGGTCAACACCTTCTAGAATTTTCCTCCCTATTCACACCCTCTACTTTTCAAAACCCGTGAAAAACCCAATATTTTAACGGGCCGTCATGGCACCGTTAAAAAATATATTACGTGGCACCCAAAAATTGACGTGGCACTATGTAACGTTAGTAATCCAACGTGGATATTTTTTTTATGACGTGGTTTATTTTTTACTGGCATGGACGCCACGTATACAGTGAAAATAATAAAAAATTATAATATTACCAAACAGTTGCATAAATGTCATTTTTTCTTTTTTTTTTTCTTTTCCCCCTCATCCTCGGCACCATCTTCACCGTCCTCCATCTTCACCGTCCTCTTCTCAATGGGTTCCTCGCGGGGAACCCAGTTCGGGTTCCTGCATGGAACCCAGTTCTGGGCTCCTGCGCGAGGAACCCAGATTTGGGCTCCTGCGCGTGGAACCCAGTTCCAACCTTTTTTTTTTTTTTTTTGATTTTTTGATTTTGAATGTATTTATCTTAGCTTTTGATTTTATGCAAAGCAATTTGGAATAATTTTTTTTGTTGAAAAAGTGAGTTTTTTTGCTGAAAAAGTGAGTTTTTTTGCTTGGAGATTGTTTTTGGTAGGCGAATTGTGAAATTAGGTTCCACAAAGAACTCAGAACCTGGGTTTTGTGAGGAATCTAGGGGGATGAGGATGAGGATGGTGAAGATGATGCCGGGAAAGAAGAAAATAAAGAAATTAAAATTAATGATGATTTAATTATAACACATTATAAAAAAAAGTCCAACATTAGATTAATAAATGTGACATAAAGTTCTGGGTTCTTGGTTTTTGGTTCCATGAGGAACCCAGGAAGATGAAGAGGAAGATGGTAAAGATGATGCGGGAAAGAAGAAAATGAAAAAATGAAAATTAATTATGATTTAATTATGCCATATCATCAAAAAAGAAAGTCCACATTAGATTATGTTACTGTTTGATGCCACGTATTACAATTTTTAACGATTATTAACGGTGCCGTGACGGCCCGTTAAAATATTGGGTTTTTCACGGGTTTTAAAAAGTGGAGGGTGTGAATAGGGAGGAAAATTTTTAAAAGGTGTTGACTGCGAAAAAAAAATAAATGGAGGGTGCAAATAGGGGCTTTGGCCTTATACATACATGGGATAGTTTTAAGGATTTGATGTCAATTAAAACGACAAACGAATCATACCAGAGGGGAGTAGTGAAGCCCTAGTTAGCCCCT